GGACCATCGTTTCAACTTCATATCAAGCCTCTCTAAAGGCACCTGCTTTGCAGTCACGCTCAAACAGGTAATTTCCAGTGCACGCTTCCCTTACCGAGTGCTGCTGAGTAAAATAAAAGTCCGTTGGTTCTAGCACAAAGAACGTCCCATGAATGTTTTTCCGATTAATAGATTCGGCAAGAAAAGGGTTTGATTTGGATCATGGAAAGAATATGAAATACAAAGGTGGATCTCTATCACACTGCTCAAAAGCAAGGTCAGTGGAGAGACATTTACTGGGCCGCCTGTTTCAGCAACCTAGCAAGGCAACTAAACCCTGGTAGTGTCTGTCGGCAGAGCTGTTGCAAACAAGGCTTGACTGAAAAATTCCATTATCCTTCCATTCAACTTTCCCGAAACCTCCCTCATATTTATTAGCCAGATAAATAGCGGCGAACCTTCACTGACAGTGGGCGAGGTTCTGTTCTCAGTGCCTTATAGTGAGCATCTCAATCTTCAGGGCCAGAAAGAGGTGTTCTGCATTTTCATAGAAGGAAAAGGAGCTCCAAAGCACAGGCCGATCACTCCCACGTGCCAGAAGAGATTTCAACCTAGGCAGCTTGACTCCAGAGTGGTCAAATCGTTACGTTTATTGCACTTATTACCTTCAAAGCCCCGTGTAGACGCTGAGGTGGCGGACATGAATAAAACGCATGATTTCGCTGAGCATATACTTATTGTCAGTCACGTGAGAGGACCAAGGCGTGGTTTCTGCTCTCTGCAACTGAGGATATTCTTCAGAGGGATAAAGAAGGAGGGACTTGCTTATACTTTTCAGCACGATTGAAAGTTTACAAGGGATGCCCTAGGTCCAGCGGAGCAGACGTCTAGCCTTTTATTGTCATCGGACACAGTTTTGGGGAAATTACCCCAAAGGAGGAAAAACAAGGATCAAGCGATGCCGAGCTTTTTCCCTGTCGGTGGTTGTCTGAGCAGACAGTGCAAAGCAAACAGATGTATATGTGCCGTTTAAATAACCGGAGAGGAAACCACCCCGCGCCCCCCTGCCCCGTACACCAACCTGGACCTTAACGCGCTCCCCACTCGCGTTCTGCGCCCGCAGAGCGTCCCGCACGCTCAGTTTGGCGGAAGGCTTGTGACTCCCACAGGGCGCCGTAGAGCAGGAGCGCAGGGCGCGGAGGACGCACCCGGCCCGGAACATGGCGCGGCGGCCCGGG